AGAGTTTGGGAGAAGAAGGAAACAAACACCAAAATCTCTTATGAAACTAAAGCAAAAGTTGTGACTGGAGAAAACTGGAGTATGCATATAACCTAACTAGGAGAGATTATGTATACCTAAAAGTGAAATGGCAGTCAACCTCAAATGTTAGAAGGGTTCAGCAACTGGACAGCTCCTACCCAGCTGGTGGGAGTATAAAACGGTAAAACCACTTTCAATAATGCCTTGGCTGTTTCTTAACCATTTCAACACTAACCTTATTACCCATTCCTCTGTATTTACCCAAAAGAAAAGATGTGCAAAATAGTTCATTGAGGCTTTATTCATAACAGCCAAAAAACAAAAACAATGCAACTGTTCAAACAGATGAGTGGATCAACAAATTGTGGTATACCCATATGCTGGGATACTTTTTTCAAAGAAAAAAGGAAGGAACTACGGATAATATACAACAATGGACCTCAAAGGTATAGTTATAGGTGTGACAGTACATACTTTCTAGAATAGGCTATTAATGTAGTGATGACAGAAATCAGACCAAGGGTTACCTTGGGGGTTGTGGTACATGACTGGGAAGGGGCATAAAGAATATTTTAAGGTGACAGCAATGTTCTATCCTTATCGGAGTGTGAATTGTACATATCTATACATTTGTGAAAACTCATATAACCATAAAATGTACACCTTTGCCTTTCATTAATATAAATTACACCTAGGATTCTTTCGAGAAAAAAAAAAAAAAGAACAGCATCAGTATACTCACTCATATGTTATCAAGTTTCAGGACAGCTTGGGTGAAGTCTGTTACAGTTTGGGATTCAATCAAAGTTGTTGAACAGCTCCTTTCCATGCACAGAGTCCCATGGCCTCATATGCCCTTCACTAAACAATTTTCCAAATTCACCCTGCTGTCAGTTCACATAGGAATAAATGGTGTAACTATAGATGAATCCTTTCATTTTCCTTTAGGTACAATTATTATCACATTCATTTCTTTTAGACAGAATATCGACTCTAAACTGCAGGTAGTCTTCCTGCACTGAAAAATTGGCTGTCCATCTGACACATTTGTTAACTGTTCCCCCTATATACATATTAGAATTCTCTTGGGCGGGGGGACCTAATAGCTATGGATTATACATTCATGCTAAATCTCCTCCAATGGAATGTAAATCAATTTTTCTTCAAATACTGATCATTTAAGTAATTTATCATGAGAAGAGTTGCATTTAAAATTCTGACATCATATAGTGGAGAAATGGTTATTGTTAAGAGTGTTGGGGAAAATGGCAAGACAGTGGAAAATCAGGTAAACTAAAATTTGAATGCTTACTTTGTACTGAATTCTCAAGGAAGTGCTTTGTGTATGCAATCTCAGTTCATCCTCATAGTATTCCTGTGAAAATAGGTGTTAACAGAACACCGGTGACATGACAAAACTTAGGCTCATAGAAATTAATATGCTCAAAGTTCAGGGCCACTAAAAGGAGAAGGCAGAATTTAATCCCTGGTCTGAATAACTCCATACCTCCATTTTTGCTGTCTAGTAGTATATCCATCCATTTACTCATTCAACCAATGTTTGTCAACATGCCTCCTTCGTTTGCTCAGGGAGAAGGCAGATGTCCATGAAGAGAACACTTGGGCAGCCCTATAGACAGGTCTATGTGGTGAGGAACGAATGGAGATTTCCTGACAACAGCCATAGAAGAAAGCTGAAAAGCTGACCCCCAAACCCATCAATAGCTTCAGAAGAGACTGCAGCCCTAATCAATAATACTCTGACTATAATCTCATGAAGGAACATGAATGAGAGACCCAGTGAAGTTGCTCCTGAATTCCCGATCCATAGAAACCATAAGAGGAGAAACACTTGTTGTTTGGGGGACAGTTTGTCATACAGCAATTAAATAGACAAAAAAGATACATTCATTATAAGCCCCTAGTATAATATGTGCCAGGAAGAAAACAAAAGGTTGAAAGAAGTAGAAAGGGGCTAGTGCTACTTTAGGTATGGTGGACATGGGAGGTATCTCTGTGGGTTTAATATTTCACCTGAGACATAAAGGAAGAGTAAAAGAAAGTGTTCATTGGATTTGACAACATGAAAGTAGCTGGTTTCCTTGACAAGATCAGTTACTGTAATTGGAAACGAATTACTTGAGTAAAATCAAGAGTAAATGGATAGAAATAAGTAGAACTGTATGCATATGTCTTCCTAAATCTCAGGGAGAAAGGGCAAAAGAAATGGCAGAAAGCTAGGATGGAAGATGAGGGCCATTGCCAGCAGTGGGTCTTGTTGCTTTTTTGAGATAAGCACTATCAATTTATACATATAGTGTGATGAGAAAAACCTAGTGTAAAAGGAAAAATGACCAAGCTGAGGATGTGCAATCTGGAGCAAAAACTGTGGGGTCAAGAAGCAAGGGTATTTCCTGCATTATAACAAGGCCTGGGAAGGCTGAGCATGAGGACAGGTCTGTGTGAAGCTCTGTGAGTATGAAGATGAAGGAATTTCTGGAGAGTGCTTTTATTAATTGGGCAAAATTCCTTTAAAATTGTGTGTGTGTTTTTTAAATATTTTTTATGTTTATTTACTTTTGAGACAGAGGGACAAAGTGCAAGAGGGGTAGGGGCAGAGAGAATGAGAAACACAGAATCCGTAGCAGGTTCCAGGCTCTGAGCCATCAGCACAGAGTCTGATGCAGGGCTCAATCTCAAACTGCGTGATAATGACATGAGCCAAAATTGGACACTTAATTGACTGAGCCACCCAGGTGCCCCTAAAAATGCATATTTATTTTTAAGTCTGTAACTTTTAACTAAAATATTAATCCAAAGAACTGTAAGTAGGTTAATATTTAATTTATTGATATGGGTTTTTTTGTCTTAACATCTCTTAAGCCTCAGAGTATTACAAACTTACCATGATTACAAACAAGTTCTCCAATGTTATTTTTAATACTTTTAATGTTTATTTTTAATACTTTTTTTTTATATTACACTTGGTTCTTTAACTGACTTTTACTATACATAATGAAGCATGGATGATCTTTCTACATGGTCCCATTTATTTGATTTTTCACCCTCTCTAAACTAAATGGAAATGCTACCTAAATTCTCATATAAACAGGAGTCCATTTCTCAACTACCAATTCTTTCCACCAATATATTTGTCTATTCCTGGTTCTAGATCACATTATTTTCCTATTGTGAAATACAAAATAACACAGGAAAGGGCAATCAATTTATATGTACAGTGTAATGAACAGCATAAAGTGAACTTTCAGGTAACCATTCACACACACGTATATAAATCTACATATATATATATATATATACACACACACACATATATACACACACACACATACACACACACATACATATTTTATATAATATACATATCTCTAAGCAATACAATTAAGTTTGTTCATAATTCACTTTTTAAATTATTATAGTAAATTTTGGTATCTGGCTAGGTAAACTTTCGTTACTGTTCTTTTTTTCACATTTTTCATTTGTTTTGTTTTGGGAGCATTTTCTTTCCCAGATACATTCTGGAATTAGATTTTATACTTCACAAAATTACATTAGCATTTTGGTTAGTATTGCATTAAATTAATAGATTGTAATTATTCCTTCTTTTAGAATTCTACCAATTCTAAAACTTGGCATTGGTGGGGGAAGGGATGCAAAGTCCCTCCCTTACATATTTTCCCACCTTTGTATATTGAAATATATATATGCCCACCTTTATGTATTTTTTAAAATTGTATTTACATAAACTTTAATATTTCAGGGGAAATTTATTACAGTCCCTTAAAGTCACTTTAGTATTACAACTAAACATTTAAGTAGCATTGTTAGTAGGTTATTTGCTAAAGACCTTTATTTTCAATTAGCAGCAAAGGGCAAATGTATCAATGCATCTTAACTAAAACTATGCTCTTTACTAATAGCTCAAATAACAAAGAAACTGAATTCTGAATAAAATAATACATATATGAATTTGTATTTGACATCTATTTCCAATATGTATATTCTATGATAAAATTCACATTTTAACATACTAAACTAGACTTCCAATTCTTAAGAGCACCATCTCTAAAACAATCTCTCATGGAGCTAGCTACTGTTATCATGAGGCACATTTTCTGCACAGTCTGGAGATGAGGCCAAAGGACCAAAAATGAATTTTCTAGACTCGTGGGGAAAAGGCAGCTCCTAGTGAGTTGCTATTAGTATGGGACAAAATCAGATGAAAGAGTCACATTAATAACCCTTCTAGAACTCTCTTTACCTCTTGTTCACTTTCCCGAAACACTAAATTACATCAGGAAAATTATAGATAAAAAGAGAAAGAAATAGGATATAAAAGGGTGAAATTTACAAAGTTAAGCCAATATTTACCAAAAATAAGAAAAATCACTTCATGCTTCTTCAGCTTTGATATTCAAAGCAATGTTTATTTATTCTGCTACTAACTCTATTTCCAGTTTGAATAGAAAATAATATTCTCACAACCAAAAGCAAATATTATCCAGGTCCTAGAGGATGCTTAGACATTTATACTATATACATCATCAGTCAAATACAATTCGTCCTATCCATCAATATATCTACATTTTAGTAGAACCATATTTTATTAATGCTAATCTATATTTTAAATATTAGAAAGATTAATATCTGTATTTAGGTTAAAATATACATCTAAGCTACACATCTTAGTTATCTTCTTCCCACACCCCTTATATCATCTAGTTCACACATAACCCCTTAGAGACTGTTAGCTTAAACCATACAAGCATTGGATAGTAGCTTCCTCTGAACAAGCCTTTTTATATGCCATAACCATTTTAATATTAATCAGATAGAGATTTAACTTCCTTGGTGTTCCATCCATATATCATGTGATTTAAAGGTTATAATCATATAGTAATCATGATTTAATCTTCTCATATATCATCACAACCCTAATGCATTGTTCCTTTACTTACCTGGCTCTTGTGATGCTGATGGTTATTTTTCTTTTATTGACAGAGGTCTCAGACTTTCTCTCTTTTTTTCAGGAAATGGACAGTGCCTATTACAGCATGCTCTGCAATTAAGAAAAACTGTCTACTATCCATTTGAGTTTTCTTTTAAGTTAACCACTAACACTGACACAAATACTGCTGTATAGCATCATCAGGTGAAAAGACCTTCGCAGGGCACTAAGTCTTAATTGTCCCCATTTCTAAACAGATCCCGTCACTGATTCAATTTGGGATTTGAACAAACAAAGTGGGCAGGCCTTGGAGAAAGGTACAAGTGATCCTTCATGAATTTACCACGGAGAGAAAGGATAGTCTGTCTAAAATAAGGTGTAAAGAAAGGCAAAGAGAAAGTTTAGAAAGGTTTCTGTGGAGTAGGTCTAAATGTGACCACTCCCCCAGAGAAGGCTATCTGATCATGACAATGAAGTTGAGAGGATGTTGTCTTTGCTTGTTGTGGGGCTTCAAGGAGCAAGTAAGTTACAACATTTATCATACATTTGCTTAAATAAGGATATGCTACACTAAGGCATATCAAGACCAGACCTCTTTCCCAGCACAGGGACTCTAATATCCAGCAGTGCTGGACAATATCGACATTATTCAGATCACTTGTCATCAGGCTAACTCAAATTCAACATGCCCACACCTGGATTCCAGATGTTTTCTCCCAAACTCATCTATCCACAGCTGTCCTCACTGAGGTGAGGGCAAGTCCTCCCTTTTAGTTTCTTGTGCCAAGAACCTTGGCATTGTCCTCAACCCTGTCCTTCTCTCACACCAGTGTCTAGTCCCTCAGGAAGAGAGGGTGCCCGGCTCCATTTTAATAAAATATCCAGGTTCCAACTACTTTTCACATCCTCCACTGTCGTCACCACCTGTCCTGAGCCACCATCCTCTCTCCCCCAGATCCATGTCAGAGACTCAAGGCAGGTCTCTTAGTCTCTTCCCTTGTCCCTATATAGTCTGCTATTGGCCACCAGACAGAACACATGTTTTTTTTAACAAAGAAAATTCAAATCAAGTCAAATTTCTGCTCAGAACCCTGCATGGGCCCCTTATGTCACTAGAGCAAAAGTCAATGACCTTCAGAACCTTGCGAGATCTACTTCCCCAACCTTCATTCCATCTCTGACTTCATCTCCTACCACTTCCCCCTTGCTCCAGGAACAGCTGCCTCCTATTTAGTTCCTTAGGTGTGGGGCAGTCAGGTACACTCATGCCCTTGCACTATATTCCTTCTCCCTAGAACATTCTCCTTTCAGATATCCACATATTCCTTCCCTTACCTCCTTGTAGTCTTTCTTAGATCTCCTCTTCTCTATAATGCCCACCCTGACCATCCTACTTAACACTGCAACCTTCCTTCCCCCTCAATATCCCAACCCAACCCACTCAGTGCCTCTTACCTTGTTCTCATTTTATACCCTGATAAACACAATGTACTTTCACTGAATTTCAGATGCCATCAGATGTGAATCATACCATTATCTTGGTAGGACACACAAAACCATGGCATGACCTTCACTGTATTTTGGGGATGTTAAAATATGAAACAATAGGTACTTTAGGATCAATGACATATGGATGGCAGGCAGTACTTTGAGAGTATCTTCCCTCACCTCTTACACAAAACGCACAGCAGCATGACAGTGGGGAGCTACTGGAGATGTCAACTTCTGACTCCCATTCTCATTCATTCATTAAGGAAGTCTTCCCTGGGAACTTACTCTGCACCAGGCATTATAGATACAGTAAGGAAAACACAGGATCTGCTCTCAAGAGGAACTTGAGTCTAGTGGAAAGCCTGACTATAAATCGGAGATTGAATTACAGTGTGCTAACTGCTATGATGTTAGCACATCTCAGAGGAGATGTCTCAGAGGAGATCCCCAACCATGCTTCCAAAGCTAACTAGAGAGTATGCATAGTTGTTTATATTCCCCCCCTTTTTTCTTTGCCAAACTGAAAAATGGGACAAATTAGAGTATTGACATAAAAGGCACCAATATGCCAACTAAACTATCATTATACATGTATGCATATTTATAGTTATTCCAAGTTCACATAGATGCTTTGTCCACCCCCATCCGGAAGTATGAACTCAGGTACCCTGTCTTTCTTCCATTTCTGCCTCTACACATTGTGTAATATTCTGAAATTCTTTCTCATCAATTCTAAGCAAGGTGCCAGAAACTCAGAACCTCTCCATATCAATATCTTGGATTCTATTATTAACTCTCAAGAAGATAGTTATTTTTACCCTCAGGAAAGGAGTCTATTTTGTTTTCTCCTATCAGGATATGCTACAGAACACTGTGTTAAAATAAAATACATATGACTCTCTAAATCAAATATAAGTTTATGAACTCTAGGACTCAATTTTTAATTGCAATACAATGTGAATACTCTAAGTCAGAAAGAGAGTTAGAAATATTCTGTTGGTTGGGTCTCATTTAACATGATGCTTTTGAAGATTCTGAAGGCCAAAAGTGCTCTCATTTCCTTAATAGATTTAATCATGCTAAGAATCTCCCATCTGTAAAATTCTTCTAACTATCCCAATTGCCCATCAACGCATGAATCAAATTATTCATAATGTAGGACTCTGGCAAGAAATGGGGTACATCAATCAACTACAATTCTACAGTGAAATCATAATTTAGGTCCCATGAAAAGGTAAAAAATGAAATTGAATAGCAGATGCTACTCTCCTCTCAATAATCTACAATGACACAACCAACCACATGAATCTTAGAAAACACAAAAAATACAGATACTAAAGATTTTTACTGGTCTAAACTTTAATTAAAAGGACTATTCTTTTTTAAAATGTTTACTTATTTTTGAGAGAGAGTGAGCGCGCAAATGGGGGAGAGTCAGAGAGATAGTGGGAGACACAGAATCTGAAGCAGGCTCCAGGCTCTGAGCTGTCAACACAGAGCCCGACGCGGGGCTCGAACTCACGGACTGCGAGATCATGACCTGAGCCGAAGTTGGACGCTTAACCGACTGAGCCACCCAGGTGCCCCTCTTGTTTAATTTTTTAATAGTTTATTTATTTTGAGAGAGAGAGAGACAGAGAGCGAGCCAGAGTGCACATGTCTGCATGAGCAGGGGAAGGGCAGAGAGTGAGAATCTAGTGGGGCTAGATCCCATGAACCATGAGAGCATGACCTGAGCTGAAATCAAGAGTCTGATGCTTAACCAACTGAGCCACCCAGGTGCCCCAGAAGCTTAATTTTTGCTTTGGGGTCTGCCACTGTGGAGATATAGGATTGGGGATGGGAGAGTGACTTCAAAGATGAGACAGGGCTAAAAATAAATTTGGTTGGGGATGTATTTTTAAGATATCACCCAGGTGGAGACATCTAGCACAAGTTGGAAATGCAGCTTTGGTGCTCATGGAACAGGGCAGAGTTGGGAGACACAGACTGGGTGACAGGCATTGTGGGGATCACTGAGAGCCCTAGGGCTGGACACAATTAGAGAGAGAGGGGGTAGCCTGAAGATAAAGGCAGAAAAAAATCTCCATGAAGTGAAGAAAACCTCAAGGGAATGATGAGGAGGAGAGTCAGAGGAAGTAATGGAGAATCTTCAGAAGTCTGGTGGATGGAGGCTTAAAATGTCTTGTTGGGTTTGGGGGCTAGTTTCTCACTTTCAGGGAGAGCTTGGCCATTGATGGGGTTCCAAGTGGAGACCTAGAAGAAGGGAGGATGAGAAAAAGCTTCAATTGAGGCTGAAGAGAGGACGGGAGAATGCACAGGCATTTCAATATGGAGGTTTTGGAGGAAAACCACTTGAGGTTTTTCAGTTGCTTGAAGGGAAAGCCAAGGGGTGGGAAGGCTTGATGCTATTTGTGGGTTGAGAATGAGGAGGCAAGAAAACACTCTCAGTGAGCCTTGGTGGCTCAGTCAATGGAGCATGTGATTCTTGATCTTGGAGTTTGGGGTTTGAGCCTCGCACTGGGTATAGAGATTACTTAAAAAATAAAAATACTGAAAATAAAAATAAATAAATAAAAATACTCTGAATACCCCTGGAAAATATAAGGCTCATCTGGAGATGCAAACTCCTAGATCAGGTGGGAGGAGGTGGGGTCTGAGCTCAGGGTTTGCAGGAAGTTTGGTGTTAGTTCAAGAGCCCCAGGGTGGGTGGGTGGAAGGGAGGGAGGGAAGCAGAGGCAGTCTCTGCCAAGTGGAAGTGGACCACAAGCAAAATGCAAGGAGAAAACCACAAGACCTGGAGCCACACCACTGCTTGGCATCTCACAATCCTACTTGCCTAAATTCTCTCACTCTTTACAGACACATAAAGGGAACAAATTGGTCAAATGCTTGTTAAATTGAACTAAATGCAGCTTAGTTTCAAGGGAAGAACATTCTCTTCATTTTAATATGATCCTACTTTTCCAGTAACTGCAGCACCTCTTCGTATCATATGATTCCCTCTTACTTACATTGTATCTTCTCAAAACACCTATATCAAGTTACAGCTTCAAATATCAAAATCCGTAAACATTCCCCCAATCTGTACCCTATGATCATGGCAAGTCCAGACATTAATCAAGTCTTCTAGGAAAGGATGTAAAAATATTCATCCATAATTATTAAACATATTGAATCCATTTTTCTCCTCAAAGTTGGCAAATGAACATACAACTATATTTGCATTATTTAAATTATCACCATGCCTTAGTATACTCACATATGACTTGTCCAATTATAACAACAAAATGCAAACAAATAAAAAGTTTGGTGACAAATGATGGGGTGCAAAGAATTTCAATGTTCAGCTTCAAAATGGCTGTGATAAAATGTGCTAGCTCAACTGAAAAAAATCACAGCATCTGTTCTGTCAACTTTCCAAGTTTATCAAATTCTTTTCCAGTCTTTCCATTTCCCTCTGAGTATGTCTCCTTGGTAAATTATCAAGTCTCCAAGTAAAGATAAAATATTCTCTCCAGTTATGGAAATGTTGAAAATGTTTCCTTCTAGAGAGAACAACTCCAAGACTAAGAGGACATGAGATTACCATCTTGGGGGTGGGGTGGGGGTGGGAGTCC